CCAAGAAAGTTTTGAAATGTTAAAGAGAATCGTATCAGAGGCCCTAGTGCTCATACAACATGAGTCAGGTAAAGACTATGTAGTCTTTAGTGATGCATCTCAAAATGGGTTGAGATGTGTGCTCATGCAAGATGGAAAAGTTGTGGCTTATGCCTCAAGACAATTGAAGAATCACGAGAGATATTACCCGACACATGACTTGGAATTAGCAGCGGTCGTGTTTGCTTTGAAAATTTGGCGTCATTATCTGTACAGTGAGCGGTGTCATATTTATATGGATCACAAGAGTCTAAAGTACTTGTTGACTCAGAAAGAACTGAATTTGAGAAAAAGATGATATATCAAGCTTTTATAAGATTATGATTTGATCATCGATTATCATCTAGGAAAGGCTAATGTGGTAGCGGATGCACATAGCCGAAAGACTTTTGCAGCTCTGTGGGCTTTGGATGTGTGTATATCTTTAAAGGAGGATGGTGCCTTAATTGTTGAACTTAAGTTACGGTCAATGCTTTTGGATCGGGTAAAATAGCTGCAACATCAAGATGAGAAATGCTTGGCAATAATTGCACAAGTAGAAAGAAAAGAGGCCAAAGACTTCAAACTGAGGGTTGATTGATGTCTATATTATCGTGGAAGACTTTGCATTCCCGATAATGATGAACTGAAGAAAGATATTCTTTCCGAGGCACATTATAGTCCTTTGACTATGCATCTCGGCAGAAATAAAATGTATTAGGATATGAAGAGCCGTTATTGGTGGCCTACCATGAAAAAAGTTGTATCAGAGTTTGTTGCGAGATGCCTGACAAGTCAGCAAGTGAAAGCTGAACATCAAGTGTCATCCGGGTTGCTACAACCAATATCCATTCTTGAGTGGAAGTGGGAACGAGTTAAGATGGATCTTGTTACGGTGCTACCTTTGTCACCAAGTAAAAAGGACTCAATATGGGTAATTGTGGATAGATTGACCAAGACAGCTCACTTTATTCCAGTTCGGGTAGATTACTCGATGTATAAATATGTGGAATTGTATGTAAAGGAAATAGTTCAGCTGCATGGAGTGCCCATATCGATAGTGTCCGATCGAGACCCAAGGTTTACTTAAAGATTCTGGAAGTCTTTACATAATGCATTGGGTACTCGATTGAAATTTAGCATAGTTTTCCTTCCGCAGACAGATAGGCAGTCAGAACGAACTATTCAGGTATTGGAGGATATGCTAAGGGCATGTGTGATTGAGTTCAAAGGATCATGGGAAAGTATTTGCCTTTAGCAGAATTTGCTTATAACAACAGTTACCAATCGAGTATTAACATGGCCCCGTATAAAAACTTGTATGGGAGAAAGTGCAGAACACCATTAAATTGGTTTGAACTAAAAGATCGAGACCTAGTTGGCCCGGATTTGATAAAAGAAATAGAGGAGAAAGTGAAAGTTATCCAGGATAATCTTAAGAGAGCCTCCGATCAAAAAAAGTCTTATGCTGATTTGAAAAGAAAATAAATTGAATTTCAAGTAAGAGACAAGGTATTTCTGAAAGTGCCGCCTTGGAAGAAAGTATTGTGATTTGGGCGTAAAGGAAAGCTAAGTCTGAGATTCATTGGACCTTATGAGATTTTGAAAAGGGTCGGATCAATAGCTTATCAGTTAGCTTTGCCTCCTGATATGGACAAGATCAATAATGTTTTCATGTGTCGATGCTCAGAAGGTACCGATCGAATCCATCTTATGTCATCACACCTGAAGAAATAGAGATCTGACCAAATTTAACTTACGAGGACGAACCAGTGCGAATCTTGGCTAGAAAAAACAAGGAATTACGTAAGAAGAAGATTCCTTTAGTTAAAGTGCTATGGCAAAACCATAAGGTAGAAGAATCTACTTGAGAAAGAGATGAGGACATGAGGAAACAATTTATACACCTCTTCGTATTAGGCACTTCTTTAAATTTGAGGATAAATTTTCATAAGGGGGAGAATTTTAATACCCCAAATATCAGGCCATTGACTATAATTGAAAGGATTTAAAATTTGGAGGATTAAATTTAATAAATGGTAAAGTATAAGAAATGATTTAGAAATTGTGATTAAGACCAATTAGTAAGAATGGAAGAATGAAAGGGTATTTTAGTCCTTTAGAGGGAAATAGATTTAAAATTCATTTTATTTAGGATATTTAAGAAAAAGGGAAAAGGGGGATAAACAAGTTATGTTCTTTTCTTCTTCCCCTTTGCCCGTGCTCTCCTACATAGCCAAAGATAAGGCTTCATTTAGTTAGTTTTTTTCCTTTCGTTCCTAGTTTTTTCTTGAAACTTTAAGTGATGTGTAAGCTTAAGGAAAGGTTAAAGAGGATTAAAACTAAAAAATGGATGACTTATTTGAGATTAAAGAAAATGGATTTTTGAGTGATTTGCTGAAATATGAGTTGTTATTGATTTTTACAAGTAAATTTGACTTGTCAAATAAGTAAATAAGATATTAGAAGCCTTAGATGTGATTAAAAACATGTTAGAAAAACATGATTCTTGGTTTGGAGTGTTCTTTAGAGAATTTGGGTGTTATAAGAAGTTAAATGGAGGAAAGTTAGTTGGGTTAAGTAATGGTGAGTTTAATGGTATTGTTGGAGGTAAAAGTAAGAGATTTAAACAAAATTAGGGTAAAAATCAAGCTGAAAAATGAAAAAACCGGGTAAGGGTATCGGTACTTAAAGAACAATATCGATACTATATGTTAAATTTGAAGAAATACTATAAACAATATTTATACTGATGCAATTAGTATCGATACTGATGTGGGTATCGATACTAAGAAGGTATCAATACCATGGATTCCAGAATGCTGAAATGGTATCGATACTGAAAGGGAGTATCGGTACTATAGTATAGAAGTATCGGTACCATGGTAGGGGTGCCAATACTACTGAGCCTGGTAAATTTAAGATAGTATGAATTTTAATAGAAATTGAATATAATAGTATTTTTAGTATTATTAAAAGTATAAATGTTAGAGAGTATACTAACATTGGTATGGTATGTGCACTTAATGGATGCTTGTATAGATCATAACCAAGCCCCTGAGTCAAGCAAGAAAAAGGAAAAAGATAAAGTTGTCGAATAGTCGGATATCATTATAGCATACTAGCGAGGCATATTAGGTGAGTGCATTTATTGTACTTGTAATAAAAGAAGGAAGACTCACGATGAGTCAACTTCGAATATTTTTTTAAATGTATGTTTTAAAACATTTTGGTATTTTTTTCATAATGTATATAGGAATGATATTATGAATAAGTTTTAGAGTATGAACTGCTCTATAATGAAAGTTAAATGCATAACTGTGGATTTCGGCATAAAAGGTGCCACTAATGAAAGTTAAATGCATAATGGTGCATTTTGACATAAAAGGTGCCACTAATGAAAGTTAAATGCATAACGGTGCATTTCGACATAAAATGTGCCACTAATGAAAGTTAAATGCATAACGGTGCATTTTCAGCATAAAAAGTGTCACTCATGGTATTCATTAAAGGTGAATGAGCATTTCAACACTTCGGTGCAATGCATGTACCTTATATTCTTATTTAACATGCATTGAGCAAAATAAAGGATAATTGGAAAAAATATACAAAAGATGGTATAATGGGCATACTAAGAATAGTTTCGATGACTATATGATCGAAACTTGTTTACTGACATGGTTAACTGATTTTATGAAGTATGCAATTTAGTTCGTACTTCAATAGCCATGATATGCTTATGAATGAATTTCAGTTTATTTACATTATATTACCTCACTAAGTAATTACTTAACGTGTGTTGATTTCACGAATAGGTAAAAGCAAAGACTAGCAGAGTAAAGAGTGCAACAAAGATCATCAATCCAAGGTTAACTCATTAGTAACTATATGACAATTATGTCTTCTTTTGATAACTAGAAGGCATGTATTTTTATTATTTTTATAAGGAAAGGAGGCCTCGTTAAAAAACCCCTTCATAACCGTCAAGAACCCTTGGGTTTCTCGACGACCATTGGAAGGAGGAAAAGAGTGCTTCATAATTTTATTACTGTCAAACAAATCATTACATTATAACCAGTACATAATAGACAAAGCCAGCATAATAGAAAAACCTATAGAAACCTAAAACCAAAAATTCACCCAATTCCTATCTTAGCTAAATCATCCGCTTTATAATTCATAATTCTACTAACATGTTTTACAACCAATGGACTAATTTCCTTGACTAGCAAGCTGAAAATCGTAGAAGAAGAACTCGGTCACTTGATCCAATCCACAACTTTACTACTATCACTCTCCACCATTAATCTGCCCCTCGAGCTCCAACTTGACTTAAACAAGAATAATAACCCTGCTTTAATAGCCAACAACTCGACCAGAATTGGAGGGCCTCCCCCAACACTCTTAGAGAAAGATCCCAGCACAACCCCATTTTCATCCCTCAAAATACCACCTATTCCCCCTTTACACCAAGACTTCTCCACGGCTCCATCAACATTAAACTTGAAAAAACCTTTAGGAGAAGGATTCTGAGAAAGCGAAGAATCACCATATTTAACAATAAACACACAGGAATCAACTAGAACTGGAATCCCCACAAGACAATCGAACATAATAAGGACATTGGGAAATTTCACAATATACCTCGTTAAGAAATGCAACAAAGGAGTGTTCATTTTCTTACCATCAAATATAATCTCATTCCTGAACTTCCAGACAGACCATATAATAGCTCCTAGAATAAACGCCCATATTTTCGAACAAGGGAACATCCTTTAGATGGCATGTATATGAATTTAAGAAAAATGTTCTTGAATGTATTAAAGTGGTGAATTTTGTAACATGTTAAAACGAATGTTTTATTTTATATTTTAAAATGTTTTGTTTTATTTACGAAACAAAATTTTATGAGTTACAAATATGAAAATGTTTTAAAAAGTCATGTGACACTTGTAACTTGTGTATGGAAACGTATACGGGAAATGGGTGTTACAATCTCGTATTGAACTTTCAAAGTAGACTCTACTTCAAAGTTACAAGGAAAGACTTTATGGCTTGGAAACCAAACGGAGAAATCACCATCAGCTGATAATCATCTTCTTGAAAAATTCAGCTTGTTCAGGAAAATATTCCAAGAGTTCATCCTTGGTCACCCAGACAAAGTCCTCACCCTTCCGGATATTAAACTTGTTGGTATCAGTCACCTGAGACATGAAGTAGAATCTCTGGCAAAAAGAAAAGAGCACGAGAGGGAAATAAATATCCAAGTAAGTACATCTATGTTATCTATACGTGAGTGGTACTGATCAAAAGGACTAGCAAAGACGAGCATTATATAAAACATCAGAAGAATAAAATATAACCACGTCACTTGAAATACCTTATATGGTTCAGGCATGTTCTCCGTCTGTTTTATAACCATATGGTCCATTGGAGCATTTCCTACAAAGTAAGTATGAGAAAGGTCTCCAAGTACAGATTCTAAGGTAGACTCAGCATACTGCAAATATTTCGTATTTAAATCAGATAAAAAAATAATAGAAGAGAGAAAAGGAGAACAACCATTACCTTGAGCAATGTCTCCTCAGAATCATAAACTTTCTCTGGAAAATGCCACACAGGTTTTCACTAGGAGCTCCATTGCTATTACCATATAGAAGTAGATACAGTCTTCTATCAACTGCCCTCTGCAATGACCTTCATCAATATAAAATTCAAAACTTACTTGATTAGTTTATTGTACTAAACTACTATGATGACACAAATGTATTAATTTCATTTTTCATCCACACAAGCCACAACCACCAAGAGGAATACAATAGTTTCTTGAGAACAATGTTTATCGTTCCTTCACATAACTCGTACATATATAAATAAGGTGACAGACTCTTTAACTAGAAGAGAAGTACTTTGAGATCCAATTCAGACCGTTTCTTCCAATAGATTGTTATTTCCTTCTGACATACATCTGATCTCTATCAAACAAAGTAAAACCAATTGTTAACAGTGTTCTGCTGAACGATATCAATTCCGTAATTCATTTTGTCAGCTTCCTAGAGATAACTAATTTAGATTTCAGGCCATTTATTCCTAAAGATTATTAATTCTAGCAACATATATCAGATCTCTTTCAAAAAAATATAATCCCTTGGTAATGAAGTTCCAACTGTGAATATGAAATCCGCCACTTACTTTCTGTCGTTTGTTTTATCAGCTTCAGTGATCCTTGGAGCTGGAACATAGTCAATTTGGTAGTAACCTTTTCCCCTGGTTATACAACAATTTCACTTCATTAGCTAAAAATTAAAACAAATTTGCAGTTGTATGCGTGTATGCATGGAGAGAGCAAATCGCATAACATATATAATATAACCCAATGAAAAAAATACTTTCCGATTGCTTTTATATTCCATGAAAACTCTCATAGTAGAGCCAAAATTGGGCATCTTGAATCAACCTTGAGGCTGTTGTATTTCATTTGAAAAAAGAAAATAGGCCTAGCTTAATCCACATTGTCTTCCCTGAACCACCTTTTCAGAGGACTCAACTTGAAATCTCATGTGACACACAGTTCATTTCGTTAAATTGGTTGCTTCCCTGTTTTTTAGTTACTTATTCTGATTTGGATGTAAGGAAAAGTTTATGCAGATGAATCTTATCCGGTAACGAGATACGTATGGATCACAAAGGAGTACCTAGCATACAAGGAAGCACCCCTACAATAATCTGTAATACAAAGGAATCAAATTTCAAACTTGCTTAGTTTTAGACATGTCCAAAAATTCATCAGGATACTTGCGTCGATATTGCTGCCTCCATCGAAAGCTACACAAAACAAAAGCAATTACAAACATAAATTCCAAGCATTCCATCTCGTTCATTAAAACAGTAATTCGTAGCGGAAACTTGAACAAAAAAGAATAATAATTTTGCGTTATCAGCATCAATCAAATGAAAAGTTTAGATTTTCTTCCCTTTTAAATTATTACAAGTGTCCTTTCTGCATCACCGAGCTAATCATTTTGCTCTGAAGCAAATGGAAATATAAGATATCCTAGAAGGAACATTCCCAGATTTTCTCCGCGGTTAAACAAGGAGAGGAAAATTAAAACTTACGAGAACTCCTGAAACGCATAAACCACGGGATCCAAATTGGGAATGGCGACGGGTAATCTCTCGAATAGTACGGAGGAAACAATTTTCTCGGAGATCGTCGAAACCCCCCCGGCCACCCCCATGAGTGGTCGAACCAGCGACGTTAAGGATCCGCGCATTCTCTGCTTACAAAGAGAAAAGCCCTGCTTAATCCCTAAAACTGAAATTGCAGTCATGTATCGGTGAGGAGCAAGTAGACTGTACCTTTCTCTTCTCTGCTTTTCTTTTGGGCCAAACAGAATTGAGTTGAGGATTTTCTTTTCTTCTTTAGGAACTGAAAAGCAAACTGTATGGCCCAGTGTAGCGAGCCACTGGACCCTTGTTGACCGGTCCAATTGATAAGCATCCAACGTACTGAACCTTATTATCCAAATACTATTGGACCATCATTAAGGGGTCCATTTCACACCGAACCGAGGGCAACCGGCATCCCAATGGATGGACTCTCTCTCTAAGAGCCCGATTATATTTTTTTTATAAATATGTGATGATTATAAGATAAAATCTATTTAAAGACTCTCAATCATTTGACAATAAATGTTTATACTCTTATATATGTAGTGCTCGAACATAAATATAGAGAGATAACAACAATCTCTTAATCACTGTCTTTTTAAGTTCGAAAGTTCATTCGAAATTTAATAAGAATCTAGATAAAAATAGCAAATCTTAAAAAATAAGTTTAGATAAAAAATTTAAATTTATTTAAACAAAAATACATTGAGTTTGAGTCCAATATTCAAAGTTTGAACTCGTATGATCGGATTAGTTTTATGTGTTTATAGTATATATTATTTTATTTTAATATATTATATAATTTGTATTAGTAAAATTAAGGCTTAATGTTAGCTCTTATGAACAATTGAAATTCGTCAAGAAGAATAAGTTGGCCTTTAAAAAATATGATAGAAGCAATCGAAAAATAAAACTTTTGCACAACGATTTAGAGTGATTCAATTTTATCAATCAAATTGTAAATTTTAACGACTTCTCAAATCCACTAATTTGCTTACCTTTAAGACAGTGTGTAACCTTACAAATACTTCAAGGTTTATACCCAAAACCTTGAATTATACACTCTTTCAAAGAGTAATTACAAATAAAGCAAACAAAAGAAAACCTCACAAAGGCAAATGTATTTACAAACAATAAGCTCTCACCCAGATCAAACTTGAGCAAATTAAACAATAAAGCACTCAAAAGTATTACAATGAAAATATTGAAAAATTAAGTAAAAAGAATTCTTTGATGTTGGTAGGTTGGTTCAGTATGATTCTTGTTGACCTTCAATATGTACCTTCTCCATCAATTCTAGTTGTTTGAAGCCATTTGAGGATTATTATAGCTATTACCTACAACAAAAAACAACATTTAATGTGCAAGGGATCTATCCTTTTATGAAAGAGATAGATCCCTTTTCAAAAAATTCAATTGTTGCAAGACAGAGATCGATCCGTTAGGGGAAGAGATCAACCCTTTTCATTGAGGGGTATATCCTTTTGGCAAAGGGATCAAACTTTTTCCTTGAATTATTGATCCTTTTGTGAAGGGATAGATCCAAAACTTACTGGAATCGAAGGGATTGATCCTTTTCTAAAGGGATCGATCTTTTGGTCAAAGGGATCGATTCTTTTGCTAAAGGAATGATCTTTTGAGCCAAAAATTCTTACAAACTCGACTTTAAATCCCAAAAATGTGGTCAAAGGGATCGATTCTTTTACTAAAGAAATGGTCCTTTGAGCTATAAATTCTTACAAACTCGACTTTAAATCCCGAAAAATGATTGAGTATGTTTTTGGAAAAGTTCGACTAAGTTGGAAAACATTTAAAACAAATTTTCAAGTTAATTTGTACTTTGAATTATTTTTTATAAATATTGAAAAATTCAATTAAATCTAAAATAAATTTTACAATTTATTGTTATATCAAAACATTAATTCAATAATCTCCTTCTTTTTGATATAACAAAACCCATTGAAAATTATTTAAAAAAATGCTCCCCTTTGAAAATAATAAAAAGATTTGTGAATTTGTGAAAAAAAAATTAAGCTCCAATTTAGTTTTGAAAAATCATTTTGCATTTTATATTACTTCTCCCCTTTTTATTATATCAAAATTAATTCACAATGTTAGTACAATATAACAAAGGAGATAAAGTAAATGAAACTAGAATTAAGAATACGCATATTAATGTATCTAAAGCACAAATATCCAAAATATCAAATGCATATAAGTTCAAATATCCAACATGAAAACCATCCAAATATCCAACATGAAAACCATCCAAATATCAAATAATATCCAAATAAACATAAGTTCATAATACCAAACATCTAAAGTCAAAGGTCCAAATGTAGCAAAGTCTAAAAATGTGATAATAAAAATGCATGCATGAACTAAGACAATGATGAAGGAGGGAAACATAATCCATCGAGTTGACGCTAAATCGCTCGAACCTCCTCTATATACGAGCCTCAAAATCATCTTGGCGGTGCTCAAGTGCATCAAAACAAGATTCAACATGGGATCGAATAAATCCAAAATATTGTATCAGTGACTCGTGAAAACCTCAAAGAGAAAATCTGAGTGGTATTAGATCTACATGTGTGTATCTCTCGGGCTCATCTCCATCATGGTCGTCATGAGCATCATCCATATGCTCATCATACTCATTATCCTTATGCTATCTATGGTGACTATGAACCCAACGCATGGATCTCTCGAGCTCCTCTATGTGGTCAATCTTTACCATAGTACCACAATCAATGATCCTATTATCATAAGAGAACGTGTTGACCTCGTGTGAAGTGTCGATACCAATAAGCTTGAACAAATGACTGATATACATCTCATACATAAGGTTCAATTGAGATTTTGATTTAATGACACTCAAAATGTCATTGAATATCATGTCAGCACGGTGGAGCTTGTGATCTTGTTAAAAGCAATGTCAATGCATCCTCCAATAGCCAGTAGTGCGAACCGTCGAGAATCTCATGTCATGAGCACGGATGCAATGTGTGATGATAAGTTGAAGCAATCAGTCATGAAGGGAGAAGAGGGTGGCTCTATTATTTTCAAGGCACATATTTAGAGGAAAATGTGTCTTTTTATAGTCATCACTGGTAAGAGGAAAGTTAAAAGATTGGGCTATAAGGTCAGCGATGATGGTGACAGTATGAACCATGAGGTAAGAAGATGATTGGTGCAATCTTTAGTAACGAATGACAAACGACCATTTGAATCAAAAACTCAAAAGAAGGATTTATAAGTAGAGTAATGGAAGATAAGAAAATAAAAAATAAGTTTCATATTCTTTATTTTGCTCATAAGGAAAATCTAAAAGATGTAAAAATTGGAAATCCATTTTTTCGAGTTTTCTTAAGTGTACGGGCCAAGAAAATCAAATCAAATCATTAGTGGGCTTTGAAGTTTTTAAAACATAAGTCAAGAAAAAAAGCAACTTGAGGGTTTCTTGAGGAAACTCCTTTAGTAGCCATTGAATTTTTCTTAGGCATTTTGAAAAAAAATTATGAAAAATAAGTTTGGGTCAAAAGAGATGTTTGAAGGATGTTCAAAAGTAAATTAGGAAGATTTAAAAAAGAATTTTGGCCTTGGAAAGGGGTTATGGCTGGATGATTGTTCTGGTTAGGGACTTTTATTAAACACCTTGGGGGTATAAGATGAAAAGTTTGGTTTTTGAAACTTTTTGACAATGGGTAATGCTCCCTACAAGAAAACAATAGGATTTGCAATAAATAAGTGTTCTCTAACCACCTAATTCAACCCAATTTGTTCGAATTGAAAAATTAAAAACGTTAGAGTTTTGAAAATTCTTACCGAAATATGTTGATTCCTTCAAAATTATAAATGATTTATTGAAAGAATGTTTGAAGGATAAATTTCGCATAATAACCCCTTGAAAACCGGATTTTGATTTAAGGATTTATTGAAATTCGAAGTTTTGAGTGTTTTAGAGGTTTTTTGTTTGAATAAAGGCTTGGGATGGTTGATATGTGACTTGAATATGCTTTAAAACAACTCTTAATGATTTTGGCCTAAAGGGATTAATTCATTGCAAAAATGGATCGATCCTTTTACAAAAAAAGATCAATTCTTTTTGCAAAGGAATCAATCATTCTTTTGGAAAATGCAAGAGATTGATCCTTTACACAAAGGGATAGGTCTTTTTTTTTTTTTTTGAAAATTTGCATTTTTACTCCAATGACCAAATAGTATGAAATTTTACACAATTTCGATGCAACCTAAGTCATATTATAGATCTAGAATTAATTTTAATGAATTAGAGTATACTAAATGAGCATGAATGTCAACTTGAAACATCAAATTATGCAAATTTTTATTATTGATCAATTTAGATCACAATTATCACAACTAAAGTCCAAATTAAATCGCTCAAACATACAATGACTCTAAATATCCTAAACATGCATATTTACAATTTCGCTACTTTAAAACATCATATTCTCAAAATTAACACATACGATCAATATAAAGTATGGAGAACATGATTTTTCAATAACAATCAAATATTGCAAATTTAAGACTAAAATTATCAACATAAGCATATTAGGCCATAAATATGCAACTGGTGCAAAAATAACTCCTCCTAACTAATTGCAATTAAACATTGTATAGGAACACTCAATCATTCATATAAACATATAAAATGACATGATTAACTTAAATAGCATGAAATTAAAACTTTTTATCACTTGAATAAATGTTGATTGTTAGGTCTTCCTTTCTTAAAGTGTTCTTTCTTAGTGTGTCTAGAGCTTCCAAAGTGATTGTCATTGCTCACCATTGCTGCAACATACCTAAAAGAGACACTTACTTGATTTTTGGTATCCAAATTGCTTTGGATCCTTGAGTGTTAGTTTCAATGCCCCTAGTTCCCTTAGGAACACATACTTGTTTAATTTTATAATTTTTTTCTTTATAGGACAAGTATGTGATGTATGACCTTGATAATGGCAATGTAAACATTTTTCCATTATTGACTTTGATGAATCTTTAGAAATATTTTCTTTTTGTTTTCTTAAATTTTCAAGTTTTTTTAAATCAATATTTTCTTTTTTAAATTGTTCAATTTTAATTTTTGAAAAATCTAAATCATTTTTCAAAATTTCATTTTGATTTTCAAAATTTCATTTTGATTTTCAAAATCAAAAGTTTCTTTTAAATGAAAATCATTTTAATTTTAAACTTAGAAATTA